TCAAAGCGGTATTTGTTGATTTTTTTCGCATTTTACATCTTCGTGCTTAAATTTTGGAAGTGAGTGTATTTTTATAAATGGCTTTACAGTTATACATGCCAAGTATCCCAATACCTTTTTGAGTGACTGTTTATACATATTTTTTGACAAAGTGTATTTCGGGATTTGAACCGGGTTGTAAGTTCTTATAAACGTTCTTAATTTAAAATCTTGAATTGTTTAAATTTTTCTCAAAAATGTATTTTCTTTAAGAGATGTTGATACTTGATAGTCATGTTATAGATGAAATTAATATTTTAATTACATGTGTATAAGCGCAATTCTCTTATTTTTCTTTGATAGTTTTTGTCCAGATATGACGCAAAAGATTCACGAAAGAACCCAATGTGCAATAAGTATTGACCTCGAGAATTGCGTTTCTTTTAACAACATAGGATTTGATGTGACTAGCTCTTCGAGTCAAAGAACTTGTGCTACGTTATGCCTTTGCTATTGAGCTTAAAAGCAGTTCCTCTTGTCACTGATAGTTTTCGAACTGTGTCTGAACGGCTCACCGCAAATTCCCTTCTTAGTGAGATTTATTTTTTTTGCTCTAGATGTGGATTTTTTGAGCGAAAGTTAGAGTTGTTTTTCTAACCTTTTTTGTAAATGAAGTACATCTTCTGTAATATTGAGTTTCATTTGGAATAACTTTCCGTTGACTTCATCTTCAATCTTTAGATAGTGGGTTTATTTTGAACACACAACTGCTGCAGTCATTTATGAATGTGTCTTCGTCAAGCAAAATGCATTGAAATTCGTCTCTTTCTCAAACAATTTACAACCCTCAGCTGGAGAAAGTAAAGGAAATAAAATATGAAGCTAAATATAACCTGCATCTAAATCAGTTTGGAGCTTTGAATACAAATTTGGCGTATCATGATCAATGCTGGTGGTTATAAAACTGAATGATAATATGTCCTACGACGGCTTCAACTAACTTATCAGGCCTGCGGTAGCCCAGTGATCAAGGTATTGGATCAGGGCAAGCATGTCATGAGTTCGAAAGGGTACCACTAAAAGTTTCACTGTGTAGTGCAGCGATGCGCTCGTTAAACCTGTCGAGAGCTGAAACGTCCTCCCTTTGGTGTGGTGTGGTAGTTAGGAGAGAGGGTGCCAGCTCAGTTGTCGTCCACGTCACTTAACCATAGTTCAAAATTACGTGATCCGTCGCCAAAAGCCCTCGTGTAGCTGAACAGTGCGAAGTTAATATTCACTCACTCAGCTAACTTATCGATTGATTCAAAAATAGTATCACCAATTTCAAAGCATGGTAATTTTTTTTTCGAATTAAGTTATTTACATGAAATTTTCAAAGTGGTTTCCTTTGGTATTGTACATTTTGCGTAAACGTTTTCGCCACGCCAAAAAGGATTTTTGACCATTTTTAAAGTATTTTTCCAGCTTCTTCCTTGTTTGCTTTACGTCTGTTTAATTGGTTTTTAAGTATCCCCATAAAAATAATAGCAATGAACACAGTCAGGGGATGGTGGTAGCCATTTCTCAGGAGGCAGAAAATTTATTTTCAGCCATTTTATAGTAGATTTTGCCGTACAACTTGATGCTGAATCTTAGTGCAAAAGAAAGTTTTTTCGAGGGTAAAGACGTTTACTCTTTTTTGATCAAATGTCTCAAAACTTTATTCTGATAGTATTTAGCATCAATTTTAGCGTTTGTTTCTACAAAAAATGGTTTTGTTAAGCCTTGAGAAGACATTCCCATCCATACACCTGACGGCCAACTAGCCTTTTGCAAAACAGCTGCGTCTTCTCGACGTATTTTACGTTAAATATACTGTATTTTTGTTTTGACAGTTGTCAATGACAGATGAAACAGTGCTTCAACTGAAGTTATCCATGTTTCGTATCTACCTTTGCGTAATATTAAATATAGAGACCAAGAACGTTTTCTTCGTTTTTCTACGGTTTTAACAGACATTTGAAGACAAACAGGTTTATTCACTTTTATATAGAAAATTTTCTGTATCTCACAACAAATTTTTGATTGCTGAAGTTCTTTGAGGCAGAGAAATTTCTACAGCGATAAGTCTTTTCAAATTCTCTTTTTCCTTAAGGAATTCCGTTCGTCCAAACTTTTTTTCTGTAGCTTTTGATTGCAAGCCAAATTTGATTTCTTTTCAAAGTTTAGATAGTCATCCATTAGCAAAATGTCTTCTGATTTTCCAATGCTTTATTTATAACAGAATTTGAGCAACCATCCTTTAAAAGCCTTAAAATTTCGTTCCGGGTTTGAGGATCTAGTTTCAGAGCCATAATTTACTCCCACTAATAAAAATAGTTAGATTGGTAATTTAAATGTTTCATTTTAAAAATATAACTCGCAGCAAAGCGATAAAAATTTACTATTCATAGTTATAAGCTTTTAGAATTGGTCCCACTAATTTTGAATCAATCAGTCTTTTCTCTCTTAGCAAAATGCTTCTCTAAGAAAAGTAAGGATGATGCAGTTTGCTTAAGCCCATACTTATTCTGCATAAACTTCGAGAAACGAGCATGTGTTCCTTCGAAATAATATAACTAAAAAAAAATGATGCAATAAAATATAGGAAAGAATCTCTCAACCAAACGACGTGAGATATTTAATAAATACTGAAATAAGTCGAGGACCAAGAAGAAAATTGAAATGTGAAATTTTATTTGGATTCTCTTTCAGATGTGCCTATTGAGTAATGCTCAGGTGAAGCATTCCAAAAGTGAAAAACTTCTTTTTTACTCGATTCTTTCTATGAACCTCTTTCTGTAAACTTTCGGATATCTTTCCGGAATTCACTACTACATTGAGATCTTTTGTGGATAGATAAAATGCAGAAAAGACAAATTCCCGGATGCGAGGTCTAGTTTCTGGTGACACTGTTTCCCTGTTGAAATTCTTTTCTTGGTGCAGATTAATTCTTTTGTTTTCTTCCGTTAAAAGCTTTTTTCGGCTTAATATTAAGCTAATATCCGTGATATTTTTAGTCTAAGACAATAGATTATGAAATATATTAAGATCATTTTTAAAACGTACGATGCTATTGTAAAATTTGAAAAGGAAGTAAAAAAACAAAATCATTTTTTTTTAAAAAGAAAAACGCATTTTTCTTGCTTTTATGGATTAACTTAAATATTTTATTTTTTAGTTGTAGCTTGTTTTTGCAGTTTTATAAACTTTTATACATCTTTTTTATTTAATACATATGCTCTTAATTATAAATACATTTGGAATTATTTCGTACGAGACCTAAAATCCATCAGGGTTTCATTTTGGATTTGAAATTAAACGATATTCTGTGAATTTTTTTCCTACTACTATATAATACTAGACATTTTTTTAACCAAAGAATTGTGGTTATAACTTTATTCTATTCCATAATGTCGCAATGAAAAAACGCCAACTAATCGCATGTTTTAATGTAAGTGGGTGGATGTTAACATCGTACTGTTCAGCTACTGGAGGGCTTTTGGCGACGGACCTCACCATTTCTGTGATCAAGTGACGAGGACGACACCTGAGCTGGCATCCCCTCTTCTAACTACAACACCACATCAACGGCAGGATGTTTGAGCTCTCGTCAGATTTAACGTGCATCTCTTCCTTAAACGGTGGGTCTTCAGCAATACTAGGCTCGAACTCATAACACACCGGCCACGAGTCCGTCACCTTGATCACTAGGCTACCACGGTCACATGTTTGAATTAAAAAGGTTGCGGGTACAACCCCGGCCCAAGTCGGTAAATTTTCATGATGCAGAAAATCGACAGCGTCTATGTCGTATGATTATGCAGCAAGTAAAAAATCCCTTTAGTGTCCCTTTGGTTTGGGTGCTCTCGGCAAAATGAAATTCTTAAGTACAGTTGAGCAATGTTAGAGTTCAGGTGCTTCCCTGTGGGGAGGAAACTGGTTGTCAAAACTACTTGCAGCAATGGGTATCGCCTACAGGGTGCCGCACTAAAAAGTGCTTTATCAGCAACTCTACAAAGGTAAAAAACACCAATACACAACCCCATTTGAATATATATATATATTTGACAGAACCGGATTAAACCGAAATCTTTATAAATATTGTGAGTTCAGTTTAAAAAATTCTTATCCTCACACAAATTGAGTTGAATAAAATTTTTCCTTATGAGAGCTTTTGAACATTATAATTGTACTGCATAGGACAGTATTTTTATTAAATCAGCGTATACTGAATATGTGAACAAGAATAAAGCGAAGACTTTGCTAGAAGTAAGAACCGTGATAATATTCTCATTTTATGGATTTTCATCTTTCCTTCGTGATGGCTGTTCTGCATAACTGTGCTCGTTTTGAAAGGCAAATTACATAAACTCGGTTTGCTGGAGATGTGGTAATCCTCATTTAAATAAAGCGCTAAGCTCTCGAAAGAATTCGAATTTCTTATAGAAGCCGAATAATCCTTCCATTGTAAGAATCACTCGGTAGTGCTTGGATTAAAACACACCTCATCTTTATCATTTCGAAAAGAGTGTATTATATCATTTTAATATAACAATAGGAATGGCAGATGAGGATATGTGAAAGAACGGAGAAGGAGAGATAAAAATATGTATCTCTTAGAGTATTGAGGAATGTAAAAATATTATTTAATTATATCGTGTTAGTATTCAAGTCTTCCAGCGCATTCTCCTGAATTTTATAGACCACAATATTAACTCTGTAAGGGTATTGATCTTGTCCCTTAAAATCTAATTCATTTCACTGCAATGAATAAAAACTGCAGGAATATATGGAGCGCGTGCTCTGCTTTGGGTTCTACATATATATGTGCATCTCATGAAATATATTTTGAATCCAGTATTTAGTAACTAACTGAACATTCGGAATCATGTGTCAAATTTAAAGTTACAAATGCAATATCAATTACAGATTTACGAAAGCAAGGTTATGGCATTAATAATAGACCAACAGCATATTTAGAAAGTACAGTCGCTCGTTGTGTCTCTGTAGCGTAATGGATTGTGCTTTGGACTTCTAATTCGAAGGTCGTGGGTTCGAACCCCACCTGGGATGACCCAATACCTGAGAATGTGATTTCTTATTCCTATAAAATAGTTTTTATAGTTATAATTAAACTTAATTAAGGAGTAAATAGTAACAAACAAAAATAATAGTCCAACACCCTATATATAGAAAGGAAAATCGTTTTCTCTTTTGCCACTTAATAGTGTGATACTGCCATATGTATATACATATTTATATTAGTTTTAATTATTTAATAAAAAGTGACTAAAATAAATATCTTTTGTTGATTTAAGTAGGAATTGATTTAAAAACATTTTTTTTTATATTGTTAAAATAGATTTTCTTACACGTGAGTATATGTACCTAATAATGGTAATTCTTGTATTCAAGAATTTGTTGAAGGTTTAAAAAAAAAGTTGCATTATCTTTGTACAGTCACTTGGAAAGGGATGTAGATCTATTTCAGCTCAATACTTTTATTCAGCATTTCATTGTCCCCCTGAATCTATTTCACTTCAGTTTGCTCTGACGGATCCAAGGTTTCCTACTGTGTATCCGTAAAAATGGCAGCTGTTGGGGTAGAGGATTCATCCGGTGGATGCAAATGACTCCGCGGAGTTTCCTTCACGCTCCTTTGAGTTGGAATGTGCGGAACTTTTCCGGGTGCATCTGTTTTGTTCCACTCCAGTGAGACAAAGAGATGTTGAACTTTCTGTAATGAAGTGTTGTCAGCAGTTTCAAGTAGAAAACAGTTTTAGCTTAGTGCAAACTGTGGGCGAAACGCTCGAATAGTCTGCCACATTTCAAATTGAAACAATGCATTTCTACGGTCTTAGAAGCAAATCTTTTGTGCTAAGCGAATCGTAATAAATACGTGATTTCGTATTTCGTTCTGTATTGGTAAAATTAATTGATGTATGATTATTTTTTTTGGAAATGTTAAATTTTTCGTCTTTTTCAGTTGCAATATACAGTTAGTAGTGTGACCGAATCATTTTATGTCCTTTTTGCCAAATCATTTTATGTACCTTTTTTTTAAAAAAAAAGAATAAAAAAGTTTCATTGGTACATGTTGAATTGAAAAAACCGTAACTAATTCTTTACGAAAATGTCAAAAATTATTCTGTATTGCAAATGCATGACAAGTTACAAAAAAATTATCTGAACACATGTTTATTACTCTGCGATATTTGCACAATACATATTTACCAATGTAAATAGCAATACATATTACTAATTACAACTTATTGGCTTAAAATTATTAATTATTAGACATATTTTTAAAAAAGAAACGAAATCTAAGGTACTGTGATCCTTTGGATACATTAATTACATCCGGTTAGGGTGAGTGAGGGAATGACGACTTACCTTAACCACTAGGCTACCGAGGCAACGACATCCGGTTGGATGACACTGTTAAAGGCTTCCTCCATAAGCAAATGATTGTTTCATTGCAATGTCTTATGCTAATTTTTGTCATGAAACTTAAATTAGTGTTTTGTTCGGAGGATTCCCATTTCCATCCTTTTTTCTTTTTATTTCTCTCTCCATTTCTAGAAAGAGAAAATATTACAATTTGAATTTCTTTTTCGTATCAATGAGATCTGCTCTATGCTTAATACTTTTATTCTGGAGAAATTTTAAAAACCTTACCACACGCTTATGTATTTGTAGAATTTTTCCGTCTTTCACGCAACTCTTTGGAGCAATTTGTGCCCAGTTTCCATAGCAACGGCTTCGGTCAACTTTTTCCTAGTGAGCTGAAAGAATTGCTCGAAACTCCAGCTAAGGAGCTTGTTAGACTCCCTACATCACAACCAGATGACGGGAAAGAAGGCTTCGTCAAACGCATCAGAAAGGGTGTATAGTATTTTAATGGTGTGTACTCTTTTAGTTATAGAATGGTGCTCCATTTCTGTTTACAACCATCAACAAAAGCGTGAGTGGAATAAAAGAAATAATATTGGATGTTCGCTTTCCGAAGCCAATAAATCGGCAAGTTATTTTTCAATATAATGATAGGGCGTGGCTGACGTCAGAGATCGTATCTTTTTGTTTAAGGCAACACTTCACCCTTACAACTGCTCGGAAAATTTCCCGAAATGATTGTTGCAAACATGCGTTAAGAGTTGTAATTATAGAAGAATGCAGTATGAAGAATAAGGCGGAAAGCACGCACACACACAAGAATGAAATGCAGTAGAATTGTTCATTTTCCATTTCGGTGGTTTACAGTGTACATTTTACACATACTAGAGAAGTCCAAATAAAATATAACAATATTGGATCACTTTTCTACCAAGTGAATTAATTTCCTCCCTCCAAGTGAATTAATTTCCTCAACACAATTGACACAAAAACCAGTTTGACCTCGAAGAGTTTGAAACTGTGGGTGAAGTATTTTCAATATATGAAAAAGTCAGGAAGAAGACACAATTTTTTGGAGCTGAGATTTCCTCTGCCATTTGTTAGAGCTTGACTAGTTGTAGGTCCAACTCTAAAACCAATTCAGGGGAATTGGATGATGCTGATCGGACAAATCTTAAAACTTTCGATACTAAGCATAGTATAATCAACGGAAAAATGTTGAAATTCCATTTTTGATTAAAAATATAATTTTTGCAATAGTAGAAATAATTTAAAATTCATAAGGAAACTTACAGATTGGAAAATATTATATTTCACCTTTTGTATTTGTCACCTATCATCGTTGTTTATTTAGATATTTTTAGTAATATTTTTCATGTAAATATTTTAATTGATATAGGGGTATATTTTAAGTAATTAAATATTATAAGTAATTGTTTCAATAAAATCTTTTTCAAAGCGAGATGAAAAAGCCAAGAAATCTCTGTTTTTTACGAATAAATTTCTTTTAGAATTGTTTATAAAAACACAATACTTCACGAAGTATACATCCCTCCGAATGATGAAAAATATTTGATGAATTCATACATGCATGCATCAGGCAGCTGTACATTTGAATATTTTTAAACAGGTACGAAATTGTTTGCGAGGTACGTGAATAACTTACAAATTCGGGAATATTTCGTCAACTTGTAACAGTAACCCCGCGAATCGTATGTTGATAACTCCGAAAATTCTATTTCTGAGAAAAATCCAACCGATCAGGACGTGATTGGAGATGTCGTTGCCATAAAAAGATTTTTTTTAGAAAAAAAAACACCGCCCACTAGCCAGAGTTTAACTTTGGTACCCTTTCTCCCCACAGCACAAATGTCGCGAGTAGCTTATAAACCTATAAAGTCAATTACATCCATTTCACTGTGATTAATTTAATAACTAAATTATGTGTGATGGGAGGATTATCTCACACAGGCGACTAAACTATGATAAATAAAAAGTACTTAATTGACCACTACTGCAGACACATTAAGTTTTAAAATTAATAAAACGTTAAAATCTGTTTTTTCTATAGAAGCATTGGTTATAATTCGGGTTGAATGAATGAAGGAATATTAACGTCGCACTGTTCAGCTACACGAGGGTTTTTGGCGATGGTCATTTTGAACCATGGTCAAGGGACGAGGATGACACCTGACCTGACACCCCTTCTCCTAACCACCACATCACACCGCGAGAGGACGTCTGAGGTCTCGATAGATTTAACGTGCATCGCTCCCCTACACAGCGGGTCTTTATTAGTACTGGGATTGAACTCGTGACAAGCCAGCCATGATCCAATACCTTAACCATTATTTGGGTTGAAGCTCCTAATAACTGGACTACCATCTACTTTAATCCACTGTACTTGTCTCATCCACACACCACGTTCTTTTTTCACGAGGTGGCAGTTTAAACTTGCAATTATTTAGGACAAGTAATATGAAAAAAAAGAACAAAAAATAAAGTCAATTCTTTTCTTAGGTCAACAAATAAAATTTTTATTTTAGTTAATTAAACGGAAAGTAATGAATTAGTTTTTGAAAAAACTGTATGGACATCAAGTTACATCCACTACAAGTTTAAAAAATGTATTTGAACTTGAGTGGATGAATAAAAATGTGTTTTAATATCGATTGAAAATTTGAACAAGATATATATATATATAGGGAGAGAGTGAACCAGTAGGATAGGAACTGAAAAAGTAATGCCAGGTTAGTTTCGAGAGAGAGGCCTCGCGAGATAGACTGATAGGCATAACAATAAGAAAACCTAATTTTTGAGCATTATGCGCGTACAGATAAAAAATAAAGCTTTCAAAGATTAATAAGTGATGGGGGGAAAGACTAGTTTGCTTCTGTATTAATGATGCAACTTTCCTTTCATTCTTCGACAGTAAAGCTGAATCAAGTTAAAGTGGGATCCTTTTGAAAAAATGAAAGTAAAAGATGACCTGAATAACATTCCAGAATGCAATGTCTGTGTTATTTATTTAGACATTCCAGAATGCAACGTTTGTTATTTATTTAGACATTTTTTGTTTAAAGAATGACCAACTAAACGAAGAAGTTTATTTAAATTAAATCGACCTTTTCGAATTGGATGCGGGTTTGTTCCGTATTCGTTAAACAAAATTTTTATTTCCAAAACAAATGCAAAGAGTCGGAAAGGAGGCTTTTGCCTTTTTGCATTTGCAGACACATGGTAGTATTTGATTTTGAAAGCAGAAACAAAGCTTGGATTTTACTCTCAAAATAGTTGAATCGCAGCATTTCCTTCCACCCTCATAGTGTCCTGGGAAATGCTATTGGTAGTTTCAAAGAATTTCTACGCACACCTTTAAAAGACTTTTCTTCAGGCATTTCTAAATATTTTCCTTCCGAATTTCTTTGTGATAATTATAAACAAAAGGAGAAAATATTGTTTGTTTAGCACAACTTGCGGGGTTTGTTTCAAGTAATTTTTGAACATTTTTACCTTTAATCTTTGTCGTTTTCATTTAAGGTTCTTTACTGGAAAGCAGATTCACTATTTTTACAGTTTTATGTTATTAACGATTATTTTTTGAAATTTATTTTAGCTTTTTAACTATCTTATATACTTCCAAGCTGATTAATATTTTATGTTTAGTATTATTGGGGCTT